GTTACTCTGGTTCTACTGCGGATATCCTCATTTAAAATTTTATTACACAGAGACACCCCGAGCATAGCCCTCACCATAGCTCACTGAGCAACCTTGAGCTTACTCATACAGCCAGCAGTGAAGGACTATGTCTCAGATACGTAAGCCATCACTGGCAACACGCACTGGTTGTACAATTTCGTTTTAAGGTTTTGAGGTATGTCTAACAAGAAGATGTGTCCCGAGATGATGTTTCCCGAACGCTGCCCAGCCAAATTGAACCTCTCGGTTGAAGTTCGACTTACCTAGTCGGACTATTTGTCCCAGGTAAACATACTCGTCAACAACTTTGAACTTAGTGTTCCCAACAACTACCGGCATAGGTTTGTCCATGTTCATCTTAAGACCTATTCGTTGGAAGACACTATTGAGGTCCTTGAGCATAGTGCTTAGGTCCTCCAGCGATTCTGCCATAAGGACTATATCATAGGCAAATTGAAGGTGAGTGATGTACTCGCCATTGATGTTTATACCATATCCTTTCCAGACCAGTAGCTTGAAAACGTCTTCCAATGCAGCGGTGAAGAGTTTCGGGGATATAACGTCACCCTGTCTTACACCTCTCTGCAGTTGGATAGGTTTAGTACTCTGATTCTGTACTCGAATAGCCATCGTAGCTCTACTGTACAAACACTTCAGCATTTCGATATACCGACAGTCAACTTGGCACCGCTGAAGGGACTGCAGCACCGCCAAAATTTCGACAGAATCAAAGGCTTTCTCATAGTCCACATACGCAAGGCAAAGTGGCAGATTATACTCCTCTGTCTTCTGTACAATCTGCCGCAGGGTATGTTTGTGGTCCATGGTACTAAAGCCTTTTCGGAAACCGGCTTGTTCGGGAGGCTGGAAGTCGTCAAGTCTGCGTGCGAGACGATTCGTAATAACTCTCGAAAACAGCACGTAGACGTGGCTCAGAAGGGAAATCGGTCTATAGTTCCTCAAGAGATCGTTGTCGCCTTTCTTGAAGAACAAGACCACCGCACTTCTGCTCCACGCCTCCAGAGTAGTGCCACCATGGAGGATGGAATTAAAGCTTTTCTGAAGGACTTCAAGTACCGATTTTTCACCCGCTTTCAAAAGCTCCTCTGTAATTCCATCCTTGCCCGGGGACTTGCCGTTTTTAAGGTGCTGGAGAGCCATTCTAATCTCGCTCAGACTGACATCCGGGATATCTTCGGAATAGTGTCGGGAAGACAGATGTTGGTACATTATTCCACTCTTTTGTTGTACAATTACCGAATAAAAAAAATCGAACAGGATCGAACCGCTAGAGAAGCGATTGAGATAAAACCGTGAAAATTTCGGCATTTTTTTTTAATTTTGCGAATGATTTAATAATAATTGATAAACTTAAGGTCACTCAGTGAGCTATGTGGAGGAGGCCATGATCGGAGTTTCTCTGCTTGATAGACTAAGAAATAAGATAATCCGCAGTAGAACAAGAGTAACCAACATAGCCAAAAGAATAAGTATGTATGTCTAATAAGTATGAACAACCGAAGACCGGGTGTTCGATGTCAGCCTCTCATTGGGTAGTCAATTTAGCCTCCAAGGTAGCCTCCCACTAGTTGGAGTGACGACCTGTTAAGAGGAATGCCGTTCTTTTGGGGAGGCCTATGTTTGGCAGTGAACGTGTGAAAAACTGCAATAAAATCAACGAATGTGACAAAAATAATTTTGCTTATTAATATATATATATATATATATATAGAAATTAATTAATATAAAAGTTCATATACACACATGGCTTAATGCCTAAGGCATTCTCTACCCTCTACTTTGGAAAGTTGTGTCATGTAATAAGCTTAAAATAGTTTTTGATCTTCGAATCTGAAGGGAAACTTAATTTTTTGTATATATATATATATATATATATATATATATATATATGTATATATATATATATGTATATATATATATATATATATATATATATATATATATATATACACTCTATATATATATACACTCTCACATATATAGATATATATATGTGAGAGTTTAATTTGTAACATTAGATAATGTAATTTTTTCTGTGAAAAAATTAACTTAATACTTATATTATAGCAGAGAAAATGTAGAAAAAATGTTGGGACTGTCATTCTGTCTTAGTACTTAAGAACGACAAAGTATCTGAATTTTGATTAGATCAAGGATGAATGACCAGATGCTCTTTTGTTTCCATTACTTCTACTAAAAGGTAAACAATTTGAAATGTTAGTGAAAACTTGGTCTATTCTCTATAATGCTATGTATAAAATACTAAGACAATATTGATCGTACATTCTTCTACTGAAAGAGAGACGTTTTATGATGGACATTTTTTGGAAGATGTTTTCACAGCCATTGTACCCGTATTATTTTAGCCCTGGCGGTCGTCTTAATTAATGACAATGTTAAATGAAGTCGTAACTTATTGGTTTGTTAAGGGATTTTGTGCATTTAATATAATGTTGATTATAGATAAGGTCTGTTTCCCAAATTTGTTGAGATAAATAATATTTCATTGTTGTTTTCATATAATAACACTTGTTTGAAATTTATATTTTATTGATTGGTATTTATTCAATAGACAATATTTGCTATAGTTTCTACGCTTGGCAGGCGGTTTGGCCCCACAGTTTTTTTTCTAATTGTTATAAGGAAGACGCCGCTGCCCATCTCCTGGTTTGTTTTCCTTTGAACCCTATTACGACAACCACTGAACGATATGAGATTGTTGACATTATTACACCGCTACTACACGAATAATTCCCCTATATCCCATAAGGCATTTTATAGGAAGACCTATGTTCAGCAGTGGACTTTGATAGGCTATTATATTCTTTAACTAACAAAACTAAGACAAACTCGACACATCTAGTTCTCCTCGTCAAGGAGTTCCAGTAGCAGTCATCAAAGTACACTTTCAAGTCTCTCTATCAAAGCCAGAGGTAAGGTCTCATCATAACTAACAAAACGAAGCCAAACTCGACATATATAGTTCCACTTGTCGAGGAGTTCCAGTAGCAGACATTAAAGTACATTTTTAAATCACTATCATATCCGGAGATAAGATTTCATCATAACTCATAAAACGGGGCAAAACTCGGCACATCTAGTTTTCCTCGTCGAGGAGTTCCAGTAGCAGTCTTCAAAGTACACTTTCAAGCCACTCTATCAAGTCCGAAGGTAAGGTCCCATAATAACTTACAAAATGGAGCCAAACTCGGCATATCTAGTCCTACTTGTCGAGGATTTCGAGTAGCAGACATTAAAGTACACTTTTAAATCACTATCATGTCCGGAGGTAAGGTCTCATAACTAACAAAATGGAGCAAAACTCGGCAAAACTATTTCTCCTCGTCAAGGAGTTCTAATAGCAGTCATCAAAGTACACTGTCAAGTCATTCTATCAAATACTGAGGTAAGGTTTCATCATAACTAACAAAACGAGAGCAAACTCTGCACATCTAGTTCTCCTCGTCGAGGAGTTCCAGTAGCCGTCATCAAAGTACACTTTAAAGTCACTCCGTCAAGTCCGGAGGTAAAGTCTATTCATAACTAACAAAACGAGCCCAAACTTGGCACATTTAGATTTCCTCGTCGAGGAGTTACGGTGGCAGTCTTAAAAGTTTACTTTCAAGTCACTCTATCAAGTCCGGAGGTAAGGTCTCATCATAACTAATAAAACGGGGCAAAACTCAGCACAACTAGTTTTTCTCGTCGAGGAGTTCCAGTAGCAGTCTTACAAAGGACACTTTTAAGTCACTCTATCTAGGCCAGAGGTAAGGTCTCATCATAACTAATAAAACGAGTCCAAACTAGGCACATATATTTTTCCTCGTCGAGGAGTTCCAGTGGCTATCATCAAAGTACACTTCCAAGTCACTCTATCAATTCCGGAGGTAATATCTCATCATAACTAACAAAACAAGGCCAAACTCGGCACATCTAGTTCTGCTCGTCGAGGAGTTCCAGTAGCAGTCATCAAAGTACACTTTCAAGTCACTCTATCAACTCCGAAGGTAAGATCTCATAATAACTAAAAGAACGAAGCCAAATTTGGCATATCTAGTTCTACTTGTCGAGGAGTTCCAGTAGCAGACATAAAAGTACACTTTTAAATCACTATCATGTCCGGAGTTAAGGTCTCATCATAACTAACAAAACGGGGCAAAACTCGGCACATCTATTTCTTCTCGTCAAGGAGATCCAGTAGCAGTCATCAAAGTACACTTTCAAATTACTCTATCAAACCCGTAGTAAGGTTTCATCATAACTAACATATCGGGGCCAAGCTCGGCACATCTAGTTCTTCTCCTCCTCCGGCATTTGAGCCATAGATATAAAAACATTTGCAAAAAAATTAATAATGTCATTGCTAATCTCATTAATGCGAGTATTAAGAGGATTAACTATCCTAAAAAATATGTCCGGTGTTGATATAACGAAAACTGCCTATAGTTTATGCAAATAGTAGTGTTTGCACCGGTCTGAGGGGTATAGACAGCCAGTATAATTAATAATAATAATAATAGGCCGACACTATCGCATTCTGGCGCGGCCTGTGGTCAGAGCCCGTAAACCACAGCGAGGGCCCTTGGACGGAAGTTGTGGCGAGTCAGTGTGCGAATATTACGCCCATGGACCCCGTCATCATAACGCCGGATGACGTAGCTGAGGCGGTCCGTAGGGCCCCGAACTGGAAAAGTCCGGGACTCGACGGACTGCATCACTACTGGCTGAAGGGGTTCGTGGTGTGTCACGCTGTGCTCGCCCGACAGTTTCAAGAAGCTCTCGACCAAAAGTCGCTCCCGAGCCTCTTCACTACTGGGATCACTCATTTGGTTCCTAAAGACCGGGATTCCACAGACCCGAGCTAGTACCGCCCCATAACGTGTCTACCTACCATATACAAGACACTAACATCCATTTTGAGCGCGAGAATCACTCGTCACCTGAACTCAAATCAGGTGATGTCGCGCGCTCAAAATGGATGTCGGGGCGGTGGTCGTGGAACCAAGGAACCACTCCTCATTGACGCGGTCATTGGCAAGGTGGTTAAACGCAACCGTCGGAACCTCTCCGCCGCCTGGATAGACTACAAAAAGGCATTCGACTCGGTGTCTCATACATGGCTTAAGAGGGTCCTCGAGCTGTACAAGGTTGACTGTACGGTTCGAGACTTCCTCGGGCAGTGTATGGGGGTGGAGTACGATCCTTTGTCATCTAGGCCAGCGGATGACGGCTGCGGAGAACCACATAAGGATAAGAAGGGGTATCTTCCAGGGCGATTGTTTGAGTCCAATCTGGTTCTGCCTCTCTCTGAACCCTCTCAGTACCTTACTGGAGGGTTCCGGGAGGGGATTTCAGCTTCGGAAAGGAGGTACAAAAGTGACCCACCTTTTCTATATGGATGATCTCAAGTTATTTGCCTCCAGTAGCTCCCATCTTGTGGAATTGCTAAACATCACTTGTGATTTTAGCAATTCTATTGGAATGGAGCTGGGGACGGATAAGTGTGCGATCCTCCATGTCGAAAGGGGAAGGGTTGCTAACTCTGAGGGCATGGACTTATCTATGCCCATCAGCATAAGGACCCTTTCCGAGGCTGAAACATACCGATACCTGGGTATGTCACAGAACATCGGTGTCGATGAGGCGGGTATGAAGCAGTCAGTTTGCGATGTGTTTTATGCACGCTTGACAAAAATGCTTAACAGTCTTTTGTTGGGCGTTAATAAGACACACGCTTATAACGGCTGGATCATGCCTGTTCTCATGTATACCTTTGGCATACTCAGGTGGACTCAGACCGAACTGAACGCTCTGGACAGAAAAGTCCGCACTATAATGACGTCCCACAGAGTGCATCATCCGAGATCGTCGGTAATGAGGCTGTCTGTACTTGCCGCGGAAGCATGGTGGGCGCGGCTTTTTAAGCGCGCTTACCCTGCATAATCGCAAAGTGTCCAGCTTCCGTAATTATTTTCTGTCGAGAGCGGATGATCCATTCTATAGGGACGTTATTTTTTGTGATAAAGGACTTACCCCTCTATCCTTAGCCAACGAGCAATGGCAAGACCCGGCAGTACAGAGCATTTCCGACCGGGAGACCGTATGGAAGGAGAAGGAGCTCCACGGGAGGTACTACAAGGCTCTACATGAGCCTTTCGTAGATACAGTTGCCTCCCTCCACTGGCTACGTTTTGGTGACCTCTTCGGGGAAACCGAGGGTTTTGTCTGTGCAATACAGGATCAGGTTATTAAGACCAACAACTATCGGAGATACATCCTAAGGGATGGCACCGTCGACATTTGTCGAGCTTGTCGCCATCCTGCTTAATCACTTAGGCATGTCATCTCCGGTTGTTCGGCGCTTTCTAACTCTGAGTACTTGCATAGGCACAACCTAGTAGCCAGGATTCTACACCAGGAGCTCGCTCTGAAATGCGGTCTCGTGGATCGGAAACTGCCTTATTATAAGTACATGCCGGAAACCGTGCTCGAAAATGACCGCGCCAGGCTCTACTGGGACCGGGCCATCATCACAGACAGGACCATTCTTGCGAATAAGCCTGATATTGTGCTGATGGACCGGGCACAGTCAAGGATATTTTTGGTCGACATTACCATTCCGTATGACGAAAACCTCGTGAAAGCCGAAACAGATAAGCGAACAAAATATGGCTCACGAGGTGACCGACATGTGGGGTGGACTGCCGGCCGAAATTATACCTGTAGTCGTTTCTGCGAACGGGTTAATCCCAGTCAGCCTCTCGGGTCATCTGAGGCGACTGGGACTCCGTGACGGACCGCTCCAAGCTCAAATGCAGAAGGCGGTGCTCCTCGATACCGCCCGCGTCGTCCGCTGGTTTCTTTCCCTTTCCCCCTAACCCTCGGCCATTTGGTCTCCCCTGCCGAGGGCTTCCATCTGGTTGGGTTTTTATTTATTTATGTATTTTTTATGCATTTATTTTATTTTGTTGATATTTATGTATGTTTATCATTTTCATTTACAATTATATATTTATACAGCCCAACCAGATGAGTAAACTATATAGATGCCCCAAATAATAATAATAATTATTTATTGCCACACAATAAAAAGTTTACAAATGAAAAGTTTATAAAAAAATGAACATTCACAATTAACAGATTAACTAATATTACTCAGTTTACGATTATAATGTGAGGCAACGGGCACAGGCTCAGTATTCGTTCGGCATTATGCTCAGCACTGTTTTTCAGCCAGTCCCTGCTGTTGTGGGTATATTTTGGTCGCACGCACATCTTATTTAATTATGTATTGTTGGTAAACCTCTTTACAGTCAATATGTGTTAGATGAAAAAAAAACTTTATTACAGAATAAACATACAGTTATTCGGCCTAAAAAGACTTCTGTTTATGTAATAACTCCTTTTTAACCTTTTTTTTAAATGTTGCAAATGTAATATTAAATTTTTCTTTTAAGGGTGGTGGCTAATCATTCCATATTTTTGCGGCCGAATATTTAAAACATCCCCTAAAGTTTTTAGTCTTATGGCATGGAATATTCAGCATGTTTGAGAGTCTTTTACGTGTATTTACTTCATGAGCATTTTTACTCCAATCTAATTTATTGTATAAATACAGTGGTTTTTTGTTATTAATAATTTTGTGGACTAAGCAAACCAAGTAGAGTTTCCTACGTGCGTCCATTTTTAAAATATTATTTTCATTAATATGTCGTGGATCGGTGGCGCCATAGTGCAACAAGCAGCGCCATCTTACAATTCGTTTTGCGAACTAATATTATGTTCCTGCTCATGTCAGGACGGACGAGCGGACGAATTGGTGGACTAATAGTGTTGGTTACAGGAATGCATGAAAATACACGCCCGAGGACGGTCGTACGTCAGGACGGCCGTGTCGGAGCGTCTATAAAATACCCGGTTGGGTCAAGGTAGAATGGAGGGTATATCGAGAAACCCCCTCTTGTGTCTGTAGTATAAAGTTCACTGTAGGTGCCGTGCGCGACAGATTCCGCCTAAGTCATTCAACGAGTGTGGTCATTCTACTTAGTGCTAAGATAGTGTTGTAGTTTTGCTCGTTGTTGTAATTCTTCTAGTGCAGGCAAGGAGGATTGGTGTTGCTGAGAGGCTGCCCTGTGTTACATTGCGATAAGTAGTGTTGCTGTCGGTTTACATATTTTGGTGTTATCATGTAATTACGTACCTCGCGTTACACTGGTGTGTGATTGTGGCAGAGACGTGTTACGGTGTGGTCGAACTGTAATTTCACTATACTGAATGTATAGTGCGTTACGTTGTCTTATTACTGATAATGATTAAACTGCGTAAGCAAGAGAGCAAGTTGAACATCCGCTCTCACACTTTTATTATTTTTAACAGTTAACGCTATCCTGATGTATTCCCGAGATCAAAATTGGGATCTCCTCTGCTGTAAATTCTCCGACATCAGAAGTGGGATCTCCTGTTGTCATTTCCGATAAATATATGGAGTAATGTGAGCTCTCTTTGGGACGTTATAGCAAAAACGAGTACATGCGTTTTGTACGCGTTGAATTGCCTTTTTTGTTTTTGCATACAGTCGTGGGCCATAGACGGTATCGCAGTAATTAAAATGTGATAACACTAACGACTCAACTAAGGTCTTCCTGATCGTTACTGTTAAGTATTTTCTTATGCTATATAAAACCTTTAAACGATAAAAAGCATTACGTATTTTAATATTTACATGTTCATTAAAGCGTAGTTGGCTATCGAGGGTAAGACCAAGGTTATTAGTATGATCCACTCTTAGTACCTTTTTATTGTTGATGAGTATTTCCGGTTTCTTACTTAATATTTTTTTTACATTTTATTTTACTTCCTAGCACGATATATTCTGATTTTAAGGGATTAAGTGTTAGACCATTTTTTTTTGCCCATTGGAGGATTGCCGACAAATCTTCATTTAATTTCATGACTGCATTTTCCGTCTGTTCTGGCTTGAACGAATGATAAATTTGAGTATCATCGGCATACAGATGTATTTTATAATGTTTTAATACTTTGCTAATATCCGCTGTAAACAGTATGAATAGAATAGGGCTTAAGATAGATCCTTGCGGAGTGCCTCTGGATGTTCTTTTTATACTTGATTGCATTACTTCCCCTTGGTCAGTGTTAATTTCAACATATTGACTTCTATTTGATAAGAATGAGTAAAACCATTTACATGTTGCCTCCGATACTCCGTAGTATGACAGTTTTTCCAGAAGTATATCATGGTTTATGCAGTCGAAAGCTCTAGTAAAATCCAATAGCACCAATATACTACCCTAACCTTTATCAGAAGCTGTAGTTATATCATCTGTGACGTGCAGCAGAGCTGTTTCCGTACCATACCCTCGACGAAACCCGGATTGTGTTTCTGGTAAAATATGATTATCTTCTAGATATCTCGTTAGCTGTGAACATACTACCCTCTCCAATATCTTGGAAAGTGTAGGTAAAATGCTGATTGGTCTAAGGTTATTAATTTCCTGTACATTTGGACTCTTAGGAATAGGTTTAATTTTGGCCAGTTTCCAAGGATCTGGAAAGATCTTAGTATTAATGGATTCGTTTATTATTTCTGTTATTATAGGTAATGTTACCGGTAAAGATATACGAACCATATCTATATTAATTAAATCGTGTCCACTGGCTTTAGTTCCAATTGCTGTAATTACTTTATAAACCTCAGATTCTGTTGCGGTTGTTATATTAAATTCAGTGTTATTTAATCGGTTGCTATTGAAGTAATTAAAAGTACTTTTATTTATTTCATTATCTCCTGGCACTTCTATAAAATAGTTATTAATAGTATCGGGGTTCAGAGGTGTGATGGTACGCATATTTGTCCTGATTGGTTCCCCACGGGCGATACTCGCTTCAGATGGCTCCACATAGTTTTTGGATTACCCTGATTTTTGTTACTAAAAACGTAAAATAAGCTGACTTTTCTCTATTGATTGCGCTGTTTACTAAGTTTCTGAGACTTTTATAATAGTCATTGTGCGAATCCTTTCCTGAAGTATTGGCACGATTATGAGCAGAGTCGCGGAGTGTCATCATTAATTTCAATAACAATAATATCAGATACAAAGCAAAAAACGCAACCAGCAACTAAACGTATAAAAGGGTGGATCGTATACACGAAACTCCCTATAAAGCACCTAAAAATAAATCTATGATTAAAAAATATGTAATTGACACTATTATAAACAGTTTGAAGGTTGATATTACAATTCGTTTTTATAACTTTTCTTATATTTACACCACTTACAATAAAAAATTTTGCATAAATTTTATTATTTACTAACGCTAACTGAACCAACCATATCTTCACCAAAAACCTTAACTAAATCTGTTTCCGAACGAATACGATAGCTCTTCTTACCATGTTCTTGACGTATATATATATTTCCATCTCTTGTCCATACATACTGCCACTTATTTCGCTTAGATATTTCCCGTGACTTTAGAAAGAGCTGACGGTTATATTTAGTAAGGCGTTCACTGATATAAAATAAACGCGGAGATCCAGGAAGATCCATGTCAGCAGTGTTAGCACCGCGTCTCACGCGTGCTGCCTGCAGCAGTGCATCTTTTTGTGCTCGGCGTGTGAGCCTTACTACAATTGGTCGGGGGTTTGGGACCGGCTGTCCTTCAACAAGCGCCCTTATTGGCCCGACGCATTTTACACTTACTATGTCACAGTCCTCAATCTCCACAGTTAGTTTCTTAGCGACAGTAAGCGTGACGTGCATTAGGTTTTCATTTCTCACCTCTGGTATACCCGCTATCTCCACATCATTGGATAACATCTCCTGCTCACGGTCTTGAAGGTCTATTATCAATTGAGTTATTGTAATTACAGTAATTACTGATACAATTGTAACCCTGAGCCGTGGTAGTTTAGGCGCTAAACG